GTCTTCGTCCAACCATTTAGGTAGGTCTGTCCTTCGTATGTTTTCTGGAAGTTGTTCAGGTATTGAGATATTCTTTAGACACATTAACACAATTTTAACAATTCAATCCTAGGCCTATGAGACTTTTAATATAAGCCTAGTTTGGTTTTGCATGATTCTGCAAATATTATCTTTGCTTTCATTTCAGATTATGGATTTTCTGTTGTTGTCTCGTTCCATTTTTCGTCGACGGCCTCAAAGACGTTTCTCACCGCTGTCCAAACTGTAAAACTTTCCTTGGACTATACAAGAGACTATGATTTAACCTACCTCTTTTATGCGTTTATATCACAAAGGTGAAGCATATACAGCGTTAGCACACGAGTTACACTACGTGGTATAGCCTACTTTTTAAATATTATTATTATTATTATTATTATTATTTCTTCACAATTACTTTTACTTACTTCAAAACATTTGATACTGCAATACATGAAACAAAAATTGCAAACTAATTATGCATCAAGACTTCGCATACAGGAATAAAATATATTCTGTATCATTTCAAACTCGAACTGATATTTATGTGTCTATATATCTGACGCATATCAATGAAGTAATTTTATACCAGTTATAGGCCAAATTATTTTGTTTAATTATATTTTTTTGTTTATTGATTCTAATTTATTTTAAACTATTCAAATTAACGGAATCTATAGCTTTTAAAATAAGGCGCAGGTTAATAATAATCAAATTATAAATGTTTACTTATGCATATATTCTAGTTTAAGATTAGTTTATCGACCTTTAGTAATAATGATAAGAATCAATCAACATGAATTCATGTTTCTTATTGAAATAAACTCGAAACTATGTGCAGTAACTGACAATTCAGCTAAATCCCGCCCCTTGAATATTGTCGCGTATGTCCCGGAAAAAATGTTTTAGAACATACGCGTATGTCTTTTCTCGTTATGAATGGTAAGTACTTAGGTATGATTGGCACTCCGGAAAAGTCAATTATATTAAACCCTGATGACTATTATTGCTATCAATGATGTTTGCAGGTTTCCTATGGAGACAGCAAACATATGGTCACAAAACCTCGATACAGTACGATGGTGTGCAGCTGTCGTGTTTTTCAAAATACAACATTTATTTGTTCTTCACCTTTACAGGTTTTTTTTTTTTTTTTGTTTTTTTGTTTTTTTTTTGTAGTTTTTTAGATATTATAATTAAAACAATAATTCCTTAAATCAAATAACAAATTTATTTACTTCTTTTTCACTAAATACCCTTGTATTTGTAGACTTATTATCCACCTCTTTAATTGTACTGACGTCTGGTTATTCATTTCACGTTGAGCACGCTTTAATATTGATTGTAGAGTTAGTACTAAATATATGTGTTTCTACGGATGCAAATAATACAGTCGTAGTAGTTTTTTAGATAATATAATTAAAACAATAATTCCTTAAATCAAATAACAAATTTATTTACTTTTTTTTCACTAAATACCCTTGTATATGTAGACTTACGAGAATATTTTGCAAATATTAGTAATACCCTTGACTTATTATCCACCTCTTTAATTGTACTGACGTCTGGTTATTCATTTCACGTTGAGCACGCTTTAATATTGATTGTAGAGTTAGTACTAAATATATGTGTTTCTACGGATGCAAATAATACAGTCGTGTATTTAGAATAGCGATATTATGTATATACATCTATTGTTGAAATTATTGAAGTTAAAATTAAGAAGTAAATATAATAATAAATGCAAAAATATCAATAGCAATAACAATAACATTAATATTTACAATAACCTATGCTAATATAAATAATATCACTATTTTGAATATAAATAAGATTATAATAATAATAAGGTAGCATTTGTCATCGTATTCTAGCCGTATGTCAGGTATGAATCATCACCAGAAAATTGTTGTCATAATTGTTTTATAATTTCTGTTAACTTATTACTATCGTTTCATTTCATTCATTTCATCCATTTGTTTCATGCTGGTAAATTATTGAAGTTAAAATTAAGAAGTAAATATAATAATAAATGCAAAAATATCAATAGCAATAACAATAACATTAATATTTACAATAACCTATGCTAATATAAATAATATCACTATTTTGAATATAAATAAGATTATAATAATAATAATAATAATAAGGTAGCATTTGTCATCGTATTCTAGCCGTATGTCAGGTATGAATCATCACCAGAAAATTGTTGTCATAATTGTTTTATAATTTCTGTTAACTTATTACTATCGTTTCATTTCATCCATTTGTTTCATGCTGGTAAATTACTCTAGGACTATTTGAGTGGAATAAATAAATGCTATGTTGATACTGATGAAGTCGTTGAAAGGTATAATAATTATTTAAAATTATAAGAAAATTTCTTGTGACGATGACAGTGATAGTGATAATTACGTTGGTTTAAATGATAACCGTGCGATGATGACGATGAAGAGAAGGAGGATTATGACAATAATTACGATGTTGATGTAGATGATGAAGAAAATAATGTTAATAATTACCATGAAGCTAATAAAATTAATATACCTTAACAAAAGATAATAGAAGATCAAACTAATGCAATTTACGCAGGTCTGACTATAATCTCACTGAAATTGAATTAAGGACACCGTTATTCCTGTATAAGCCACAAGAGTTTCTAACTGCACACCGGTCGTTACTGAGCACAGAACGTAAACGTTAATTACTATTGTTATAATAAAAATTATAAATGATTTCTTGTGGGCCTTATCATAATAAGTATTATAGTCATCAGTGTGAAATACAACGTTAAAAAAAACAATACCTACTGGTATTTCGTTGGTGTTGGTATTGTGAGCGAATATTTATGGCTGGGAAACTAACCATTCCTTAGCCTAAAATACAGCTATTTTTATTTTATTGCCGGCTTCGCTATTGCGCATTATATAATTTATACAGAATGATAATGTCAGTGATATTTAAAAAAATAATCAAGCATACGACACGATCAGGACCGTAGTGTGATTTAATATGGGCTGATAAACCAGGTGAACGAAACAGTACCAAGGCCCTGAGATTGAGGATTTCAAAAAGAACGTTAACTAATATTCAATTATCCAACAAATAGGACCTGATGTGGATGAGGTAAGATCGTGATTTGCAGGTTTTAATGATTTTTGTTGATGACGGTTTATGCAAATGTTTGTAAATACACAAACTTGACGACATCTGTTTACAAGACGATTTAATAAGTTTATTATATTCATAAGGAAAAAAGGAGCAGAACCAGTCAGCTGAAAACATAAAACACCCTGAAATACTTCAGAGATAATAGATAACCAGCATTCGCAATTTTGGTTTGTTCTAACGTGTCTCTTCGTATGTGTCATCAATCATTAACCGAACAATCGGTAGGAAGAAAGGTATGTCTAGCTTCTAAAGCTTTCATTTGCGACGAGTTTGGAACTAATTGGAGTATACTCGGAATAACTTGCACTATCATGGCTATGTTATAGTAAATTACTAGATTTCAATCAGAATGCAGGCAAATTTAAATGTAAAGTTTTTCATCATTGAAACTAAATTATCTATTTCAAGTGGGGAGAGTATCTAGAGCTTACCTTATTATTATGACAACACAACCAAACTCCTCGGAAAGCAACATCGAACTGGAAAATATTCCTCCTGACCGAGGTCCACCACCTGTGTACACACCTAGAGAAAGCACACAACCCAGCACTCCAACGGGAACTACTTCCCTGGGTGCTGGTCAGACGCCCCAATACCCTCCTAAAGAAGAACTTCCACCCTATAGTTTCTACAACCATCCCCCACCGTATACGTTTCCCTTGATAGAAGGAGAGGAGCCTATTCACAGAAGTTACCAAGGAGAAAGCAATAGTAAGTTTACTGATAAAATTTATTTATGTGAATTATCATAAATATTAACAATACAACAGCAGCTTTCACCAACACAGTTGATATTTTTTTTTTCTGATTATGCATCTCTGGTCTAATGTCCCATGCACCTTAATAATCCTTACCCCTCCCTTTTCCCTACTCATATTATGAACTTTTATTTATTTATTTTATTTATTTATTTATTTATGACAATTGGAGCTACAACAGCCCAGGAAAGACCAAATAGCATTAAGCTAATAGCAAAGGCCTTCCAACTTAGTTAGTTATATCTTGAATATTAACTAAGTTTATTTTTCTCATATTTCATAGATGGTCAGGATTCTATCGAATTCCTTAATGCTGAACCATGTACGGTCGTATGCCAGTATTGCAGACAGGAAGTGACAACATCTGTAATGTATGTTGCTGGAAATTTGACATATATTGTGATGTTCGTAATATTTCTTTTGGGGTATGTCATATTTATATATATATATATATGTTGCATCTTATTTAATCTGGAAAATATTATATTCTCTAACATTGATTTGTAGTGTTCATGATTTTAAACAGCCAATACTATTTCTGTTTTCGACCAGTATTTTTGAAACTCGATTTCATTTAAAACAAAATCAATTTTACAATTAAAATAATCAGCTTAAACTCTTCCTTTTTTCTGACACCTCTCTTTCATAAGTACAATATGTTTACCGAACATTCAATTATCTTAAAATAAACACACAGACATACACACACACACCCACACACACACACCACCCACCCACACACACACACACACACAAGTAAGTGACATAGTTTTTTGTTTTTTTTTTATTTTTTTATTTTTTTTTTTATCGTTGATCTAACATTATATATAACTTTTCCTTACTTTCCCAGCGGTTGGTTCTTCTGCTGTTTAATTCCGTTGTGCATTGATGAACTTCAGGACGTGTGCCACTACTGTCCAAATTGTAGGCACGTGATCGGTCACTATGAGCGTATATGACCGTAATGTCATAGGAGGTACGATAATGTGAATATATAAGATAGAATATCAACAAAACAGTGATTATATTTTTCTATAGAAGGTCAGTGGAGATATTCCGTGCCCCGTCAGTTAAGCTGCGTGACATTATGTGTGGCGTAAATCTTGTAACAAACGGAGCCTATAGATGAGGAGGATCGCATGAATATCCAGAATACCGGTATACGTATATTTGTGGAGGCTGATTTTAGTTTTATTTGTCACTAAAAAAAATATACTGCAATCGCTGGCAGGTCGTGATGCTGGTAGACTCGAGTTGAAATCGACATTTGACAATGATTAATATGTTTGTCATTACAACATATTGTTTTGGTTAATGAGTTTCAAAAAAGGAAACATGTCATCCGAGATTTATTCAATGTCAACAATACAGTTACAGGTTAAATATCATATATTATGTAAGGTGCTAATTAATAATAATGTATAATATATTATGGTGCCTATGGTATTCATTATCAGTTGCTTGATGATAATAATCTTAATATATGAATGGAGTGGAAAGATAATATAATGGCACCCATAAAAATTAGTAAAACCTAAAATATAATAATGTTTAAATGCTTATGAAAAGAAAAATATTATCTACTTTAGCTATACAACAGATTGAAACAAAACAAAAACAGATTTCAATAAATTCTAGATATTTTACTACATTTTGCTGTCAGAAATAAAAAAATAATTGCTACTTTCATTGGAATGTCTAAGTTTTTCAATCTTTAGGCCTTTGGTATCCTATGATACAAGGACATCGCGTCGTGCTCTCAGCTGCTTAGATTTTCAGCATGGTTGGTTTTCAATACTGTACCTGCCAACGCCCGTGAGCCTCTTTCTTCCATGGTAAAAGTGACATACCGTGCAATGCTTAATTCACTATTTTTCTAATCGCGTGGTGGCGTTAGAATTGGAAATTTAAAACTGGTTTGAAAGCACTGCTTGCAAAAGTATGTGCGCATATGCCCTCCTTCTCACTGCTAGGACATCCCCTGCCGTTTGGGTAAATTGAATTACATTGTAAAATCTCAATGATTAAAGTTGAAATAAACCTGCATGCAGACGACCGCCGGTTTAGAAGAAACTTTTATAATTTAAATTAAGACGTAGACCTACTGGAATAAGAAATTGTTTGAGAAGAAACATACAACCATGCAGATATGAAAAGAAACAACGAGGCGATTATTGTTGAAAATGATTTTTGAGGTCTGTTTATTCGAGGGAGGCGTTTATTCGATGGAGGCGATTATCTTTATTGTGTCTGTGTAAAATTGATACGATACCGTACTTAAATAAACCCCCCTAACTTTACTGTAAATGTGGAACTACAACAAATAATTTCCCTCCAAATGTGTTGCTGAGTGATGATGACATACCATAGAGCTATTAAACAACTAGAGTGCTGACAAGATGGCGCAGCAATGCAGAGTTATGTATGTGTACCATCCAAGATGGTCGTCGTAGTAAAGCGCCACCTTCAGGCTTAGTATACATATTAATACTTAAGCCCTCTGACTGACTATTATTTCATTAATGATAATGAGTAATGGTAATAACAAATTATTAAACTATTGTAGCCAAAATGAGGCCAAGTGGAGCATCTTATTAAAAAATCAAGTACCAAGGAATGAAAATTAAAATCGTGTACATTACACCCAAACACCACAACGTTCAAGTTTCAACATACGGGTAACTAACTGTACTGAACTTTCTGAGTAAATTGAGGGCGCAATTGCAAACGATGGTGCTTAGCGAAATTTGATTGGCTAAATCTATGGCAGACATCTTGGATGGTACACACACACAGTTCTGCGTATTTCGAACATCGAATACATTGGGGTTAGCGCTCTAGTATTTTTATTATATCTCTATGTGCCATACAGACTTATTGATCATGGCTATGTTAACAACAATGTAATTCTACTGGAGTAGAACATCAGTAGAATGTGTTGAGTATTATTGCTATATTGCTTCCATTTGTGTTGTTTACATTCGTTTAGGTGGGCGTGTATTCGAGGAAAATATAAACGCCCCGAGTCGTGTTTATAAAGGAGGCGTTTATTCCAAATGTGGCTCTGGAGGGAGCGTTTATTAATACGGTATTTTGTATTTTAGGTTTATGAACGCAGACTGTAGGTTAATAGATTTTTCCACTAGCAGCCCCTAGCATACCCTACATTTTACACTAAGGTCCGCCACTGGTTACAGAGCATCATTTCTATTCTAGAAATGAAATATAACTGAATAAAGATATAATACGCATAATTATTTATCTGGCTAAAATTATTGCAGAAAGAAAAGTTGAATTGAATAATGGGAATTTAAACGCATATTTGAAGTAAATTATTTATATTAACATCCAATATGAGTTTAAATTTTAGAATCACAATGAATATAATTGTTATTATTATGTAAATATTATTATTTACAATAATATGGTTAATCTGATAAATATCTATAATAATATCCATAATAATAAAAATATTTATAATACTAATCATAATAAACATCATTAAATATTATAATTTTTTACAAATACGCTTTTATTTTCCAAGCTCTTTACATCAATAAAAGTAAATACATAATTATTTTTGTCTTCTTTATACTTATTTAATAATAATAATGATAAAATGATAAGATAGGCCTAGCGGCAACAACAGCTACAGCAACAACAACAACAACAATAATAATAATAATAATATATTTCTTGAAGGTTTGCATGGCGAGTATCAATAAACATATAACAATTTTTTTTTCGGTACACCATGTGTAAATAAAATACTGTAATATGGTTTTTATTGAGGTAAAAACCACTGGTTGGTTGTCTCGACGTTTCGGTAAGATTGCTCTGACCGTCATCAGGCTCCTGATGACGGTCAGAGCAATCTCAAAAATTTGTTATATGTTTAATAATAATAATAACAATAATATTAATAATAATAATAATAATAATAATAATAATAATAATAATAATAATAATAATAATAATTAGCTGCGTACTCGGTATATTATTCCTGCATTCCATTGGCACTTAAATAGTCTGCACATTTTATTTTGTGAGCTCGTTTTACACTTACGAACAGGAATGTCGGAATATTCTAATATTTTAATTTCATTCAGAGTAGGCCTATGTGTATAAACAATAAGCCTACAGATTTAGATTACCCATGCATCATAACATTCCCCAAATATTGGTATAATGTGTGGTTTGATACATAAAGGAGATGGAATTATATTATCACAGTTGAGATGTACCGTACTCGCGCGAATAAGCGCCCGGGCGCTTAAAATATTTTTTGCACTTTCTGAGGGGCGCGTATTCAAACGGGGCGCTTATTTAAACGGGGCGCTTATGAAAACAGAGTGGAAATTGAGGGGCGCTTATGGAAATAGATGAAAATCGAGGGGTTCTTATGAGAAATTATTAAATTCAAGAGGCACTTTTTGAATGAAGAAAGATTATATAAGGACATTACGAATGGTGGTCGTATGGATAATCGTACAGAGAACATGGCTCATGACAAGAATGCGTGAATATTTACATAACAACAAAATAGCAGATGCAATTAGTGGTGGTGGGTAGTGGTTAGCTTGTTGGCCATCGGCCGATTGAGATTAGCAGGATGGCAGGATCTTTGTTTTTTGGGGTTTTTTTTTTTTAAACTCAGATGAGAATGTGCTTAAGGTCGGAGAAAGAAAAAGAGGAGTAGGACTAGGCATAGAGAAATATGTAAAAAGAGTAAAGTTGGAAATACACTGTCTGTCCAGGGATCGGAGCTCTCATCTGTCCAAGAGCAATATATTCATTGTGATATATTGACCGAAGAAGAATGTGTTTCCACTCTACAGCTCAAATCATGCCAACAACCACAGTCCCAGGATTGATTGATTTGCTGAAAAGAAAATCTTATAAGGGGGCACTTATTCAAATTAGAAGGGGCGCTTATTCAAACTGGGCGCTTAAGGAAATGTTCACGTTAGGAGGGGCGGTTATTCAAACGGGGCGCTTATTCGCGCGAGTACGTAGTATACAAAGTTTACAGTACTGATGCTGACTACATCAGCGTAGTCGATGGAGTACGGTACGATCGAGTCCTGGCTCGCGATACTGTGGCCTTCCTTACTGTAGCGCGCCGTCTATCATCTCTGTCGTCCCTGCAACAAAAGAAAACATAGCAGTTATTTGTTCCTGTTCTAATAGTGCTACAACCGTAAATTGTAATCTGAGACCGTTTAATAATACTACATTGTATAATAAATGCCAACGTTTATTCTCAATGGCTCCATGTATTCTGCAAAAGAATGGTTAAATTAAATAATGATAAATAATAATAAGAAATTTCGAACCGAGTTAGTTTTGGGTGTCTACTACAAAATAAAAAGCTGTTATACAATGACTTCATGTGCCACATTGTAAAGTCAATTTTATAAGAATATGATATCGATGCAATAGACACGCACAATATCGTTTGAGTGGAAAGTGAAACGATACTGCAGATGGTACTTATTTTTTCACACAATTTGCACTGTTGAGAGACCAGTGTTATTCCACCGCCAAATGGATGAATAAGATAAAAAAAAAATACAATGATTGTTTGTGAATAGATATCACTAGTAACTTTGAATATGGTAAATTATAATTATTGTATTAGCTACATACCGCCACATTTCCATGATGGTTTTGTTTTTCAATCGCACCTCTTCATTTATTGGATACAGCCATAAGAAAAGAAACCCGATTAGGGCGCACGTAGCAGGTAACGCAGTTACCAGCAAACGAAGTGTTTTGTTGACTGAATCCGGCTGATCACAAGCGCCGGTCTCATAACCTGCAACACTGATAAACCAAAAACATTGACATTTACAAATACCGTATTTATTTGAGAATACCGTTTATTGTTGAGAAGGATTTTAAGTGGGCGTTTAATCGATGGATGCGTTTATCTTATTTTATTTTTTTGGCGTAAAGGATATACGTATCTCAATTATTTAGTGATTCCAACCAGGTTATAAAAAATGTGGAGTGGAACATGAATAGAATGTGTTAGGAATGATGTTGCATTCCAGTTTTGTTTACAGTTATTCAGAGGGGCGTTTATTCAAGGAAAGATTTTTGAAAAAAATGTAATCCTACTTGAGTGGAACAATAATGTAATGTGTTGAGAATGATGTTGTTTCCATTAGCTTTGTTTATAGTCATTCAGGAAAAACGTTTGAAAAATGGAGGAGTTTATTGCAAACGAGGCTCTGGAGGGGCGTTTATTCCAGGGTGGTGTTTATTAAAAGCGGGGTGTTCATTCGAATAAATACAGCATCTACAAAACAAAGACACATAACAAGTAAATTAAATCGATTTAGTCTTAACTTTTTGAGACCGGTTTGAAACAACAGTGCAATGTCATATTGAGTATGAGTCATTACAGCTCAGAATATAACTACAGTTCGCTGTCCATCGGCTGTGCATTATAAACTACTCGAGCCATTATAAGCCTAAGAAGCGCATTCACATTAGATTGAATAGGATGGGGATTTATTTTTTCATTACCAAGTTACAATTTCATTATCCTCAAAAACAAAATCTTAAAAGATTGATGCCGTATAATCATATATTCACTGTATTCCAAATCTCGGACCCTAACCAGTGTTTGGTTTTATTCCGACTCATCAAATAATTTGCAATACGCGTATATGATTTTGTCTCTTTTTTTATTGTAATAATTTCAATGAGCAATCGTTCTCCAGCATACCTACGTTTGGTTTTAGACAATGAAATTGACTTTTCTATTTACCCCAACATAAGTGTAGATAGACTCAGAGATAAACCGGCGGCAAACTTGGTAAACATGACATAGAAAGAATAAAATATTGTTTCATAACTGTCACCAGTTTTCAACAAGAAGTCGTCAATAACATCTGGTATCATTGACCTGTGAACAAAGAATTGTTTGAGCCATCTTATAAACAATTAAAGATTTTAATGTGTACTCTAATTGGATTAATTGTTTGGCCATGGATGAGCCTATGGTCGAAGTGAAAAAATATGATTTTATTTTGCATGTCGCATGTACATTAAATATACTATTTTGTCTACTATTCTCATTGTACCCGTTAAAAAAATAATATGAAGTGTTAAACATTTCCAAGAATTGTTAAATAGTATAGTAAAAATGCATACTCATACAGCAAACCATGAACCAACATTTCAAATACCGGTGTATTTTTACTTTTAAAAAACTTTCAATATTTGCAAAAACCTATTAAAGACAACCTACAAAGTAGCACAATTTATTCTTGAAAGCTGTGGGTAATTACATTTCTGCTTATTAGTTGAATTACAATATAAAATAATGGGAAATAGTTATATGGCATGAAAAGTATTGGAACAAATTTTTTTAAACCAGATAATTAATAGATTTATTAATTTAATGGAAGATTTACATATTAAACCTCTTACAAATGAGAAAGTGATTATTACATTGTTAGTGTTGCCGGGTTCATATTTTTTTATTATACATTTTGAGTTTATGTTGTGCATTTAAATAAAATAATTGTTATAAGACAACCAGAAATTCTACCACATTTTGGTTAAGAGCTGGTTGTTGGTCAGGAAAGACATGACATTCTTTGACTTACCTTTCGTTTTAATGGAAAAGGCCGTAATATATTTTTTTTACTTTTTTTCTATTGAACAAAAACTGATTGTAAATATACAGTACAATATTGTTTGTTAATTGCTTTAGAAAACAATGGCATGTACAAGATTTTGGGAGCTACAGGTTAATAACTCCAAAGCCGTTCAACAATCAAATAATTGGATTGGATTGGATTTATTCGGTGTAAACACCAAGGATAGCCCACGAAAGTCTAGAAGACTTATTTCCAGTGGGGTCCTTCTGGTGGTGATTGGACAGTACAGCGGGAGACAATCCCATAGTGTACTGCGTTCTTTAAAGGCCAACTCAGACAGCGTCGGCCGACCTAGCCCGACCCGATTTATCGTCGGGGACAGTCTTAAGCCGTCGTGAGAAATATTAAACACGTTTAATATTCTACTACGCGACTGCCCCCCGACGCACACCATCGCGTCTGCGTTCAACTCACACAGACCCGACGCGACAACAAATCGCGTCGGGCTGCGTCGGCCGACGCTGTCTGAGTTGGCCTTTAACGTGCACATGGGCCATAAATGCACACGGGACCAACGGTCTCATTCGAAAGACGGTGCGCTATTGTAACTTGTATTTCAGCCCTCTAGCTAAAACACAAGGAGAGGCAGCGATGGGAATTGAACCGGGGACCTAGAGATCTCCACGGTTCTGCGCACACACATTGGCTACCAGCAGATTAGCCGACTGAGCTAAGCTGCTCTCTCAATTTCTCATTCCAATTAAAGACCACTTCTGGGATTAAGGTTTCCATGAGTCTTCGGTCTCTAATTAGAATAATAAAGACATTTGTTAATTAGGGACCACAGAAAAGTGGTATTTATTTGGAGGAGTCTTTATGAGACTATGTACTAAAAAAAATAAGATAGTTGAATTAAAAAGCTTCCACACTTACATAAGTTAAATTATGTTAAAGTATTGCAAGAGGAGCTGGCCTGATGCCACTCCAGATTCTGGGTTAGATTCCTCTCGCAGTTGCATAATTGTTTTCTTACGAACAAGATTAGGTCTATATTTATGTGTTTGTACAGAACATTGTGGAAAAGCAGTGTGCCCATATTAATATAATTCCAGTAGTAATTATCATCATTCTCACGTTGAAGAAATCGTACATGTTTCTAATGTTCAATATAGTGTGGCTATTTTGTACAATGTAATATATACCTGTGTTAATTTGTCATTTGTATTTGTAGAAATTGCATAATTTTAATTAGTTTAATTACTGTTTAAAAAAATTATACTCATAAATCATACCTATGTTTGTACATGATCAATAAAATATCTGGTGAAAAATATTAAACATTTACTTATTAAAAAGTCTGTAAATCAACTACAACTCAATTGTTTTGATTAGTGTACCGTTGGAAATTGATAATTCAATTTTCAATTAGGTTGAAGGTTCATAGTTCAAGGTTCATTTCATTCATTCATACACATAAATACATGAAATGTGTTTTCCTGAATAAAAATCAATATAAAAAAGAAACACAAATAACAAATGCCTGAAGTATTTCTATTGATATTTATCAAAATCTTACTCACAGACTCTATCACTATATTTTTAACTTAAAGACATGAGCCCATGTTGGGTTAACAAACAATCAATGTTGTAAACATAATAATGAATAACAATATAAATCTAGAATGTAGGCCTATACATTTTGCATATACAAGCATGCCACAACGTATGTAAGCATGTAACATACAATTTCTCGAAATCGTCAGATGTTTTAGGTTATTGCAGCAGTTTATCTTACCAGAGAAGTATAAAATAAATTATAAAAAATAATAAATATTTATACCTCCATGTCCTTACCATGGAAGAAGTTGGGCCACAGATATGCAGTTACCAGCAACAATACCCAACACGTATACTGCCCAGTATGAGTCTTCCGGAAGAAATCCCCATGCGATAAGCACTGGAAAAGCACCCTAGGAAAAACCATAGACATTTCAATGATAAGGAGGCCAACTAAAATTAAATATTAGTTTCACTTCCGAGATTTGAAATAATTATTTGGTGATGGTATTTGCTATTTGCTATTCACTATCCATATACTGGTGAAAAACAGACTGGCAAATATCAACTGTTATTTATAGAAGAACCAAAATGAGTTTTGTAATGCACGACTATACCTCGAATGATATTTCAACCTATGCTTACGATTGACAAACAATCTTCCAAATAGTGATTATCTTATTTTCCATGGATACATTATTGTTTTTATATTTTATTTATTTTTAAATAGCAAAAATACAGAAGATTTTTTTCATGCGGCTCCAAAATTTGTTGGGCCTAAAGAAGGAAGACGGGAAACTAGCAATTAATTATTTGACCTTTTTCTTTGATTTTGTATACAACTTTGTAAAGCAAATGTATTGAGGTAAATAGAAATATGTTACGCTTAAACAATTAATTTCATGTTATGTAGGTCTATAAATTTATATATATATATATATATGTGTGTGTGTTTTTTTTTTTTAATTTCACTCTGATAGAATAACATAAAATAATGGTAATGCAATACACTGGCTACGTATTGGTCGGTATTCAGAGACAAAGCGGAGGAATGCACTTTATTTAGCTCCTCTTCTCTAGTTAGACTTGCTAAATTCTGATTTTATATTATCATGCGTTCCGAAGAACGGTCACAAATTGCATCAAGCAACGATATTTCACGCCGCTTGTGCGGGGTATTGGGATAAGTTTTCAACTAGCAATAATCACGCCTCGGATAAACCTCATTGGCTATGATATCGCCTCTGCGCAAAGATAACCAGCAAATGCTACAACTTTGGTATTAATTCTACACAGGTAATCGTCAAATACTGGTGTCATATTCAAATAAATTATATCTTTAGCTTTCATTAACATATTACATGCCTAAATTTTGAAGCGTTTTATAGTAACTAGTATTCTGATTATTGTATATTCAACATTAAAATCTTTAAATTAAGATACACATATACATTATATTTACTATATTCCATTAATTATGGTACTAATGAATATTTCATGAGTGATAAGGTACGCCATATCTGAAATGCAAGTTCGTGGTGATGATGATGATCCAGTAATAATAATGATGATGACGATGATGATGATGTTGATGATGATGATGATAATGATGATGATGATGATGACGATGATGATGATGATGACAATAAAATATTATTGACTAGTGATTTTATTTAAAAAAAGAAAAACAAAAACTGCATTTAATATAAAATTCACACAAATTTAAATCACTAAAAAATAAAAATCGGTATATACAACTTGAACTTATTTTGTATTGAAACAGAATAAAGACGGATGGCATTAAAGTATACGGTAATGCATTGTAACATGACTAAGGATTGTTAAAAATCAGTCCAACAATTGCACAATCGAGAAAGATTTCACAATATCTATCAAAAATTTCTCGTAGTTTATGATATTACTAATGTTAAGTTAATTACCTCCGATCACCAAGGAGGTTATTCACCGCAAAAACTATGTAATGGATCATTGTAAAATTTAGTGGAATGGTACATAATAATTTAAGAAAGAGATCGTTAAAGTTTTGGGAGAAAAGGTAAAAGGAAAGGCCAAGATCACGAAAATTCGATTTTTTTTTATAGCATAAAAGAAACGGCCTGCGCATTGTTTGGTATTCAGGCACAGGGCGGAGATATGCACTCTTATGAAGTGACTAATCTGGTTACACTTGTTATAGTAACAAATAAAAAGAATTTATATAATCATGTGTTCCGAAGAACTTATTTTATATTGAAGTACAATCTATACATTAAAGTATAATGGGTGGAGCTCAGTTCTACATTTCCATGCACACGTTTCTAGTTTATAAACTAATGCTAAGGAGGTTATGTATTTACCCCTGTCTGTCTGTTAGCATATGGATCATCATAAAATTAGTGGAATGATACATAATAATTTCAGAAACAGGTGATTAAAGATTGGGAGGGAAAAAGTACAAGGTCACGGATTTTATTATATTTTTTTCACTCTGATAGAATAACATAAAATAATAATAATGCAATACACTGGCTACGTATTGGTCGGTATTCAGAGACAAAAGCGGAGGAATGCACTTTATTTAGCTCCTCTTCTCTAGTTAGACTTGCTAAATTCTGATTTTATATTATCATGCGTTCCGAAGAACGGTCACAAATTGCATCAAGCAACGATATTTCACGCCGCTTGTGCGGGGTATTGGGATAAGTTTTCAACTAGCAATAATCACGCCTCGGATAAACCTCATTGGCTATGATATCGCCTCTGCGCAAAGATAACCAGCAAATGCTACAACTTTGGTATTAATTCTACACAGGTACTCGTCAAATACTGGTGTCATTTTCTAATAAATTATATCTTTAGCTTTCATTAACATATTACATGCCCAAATTTTTAAGCGTTTTATAGTAACTAGTATTCTCATTATTGTATATTCAACATTAAAATCTTTAAATTAAGATACACATATACATTATATTTATTATATTCCATTAATTAGGGTACTAATGAATATTTCATGAGTGATAAGGTACGCCATATCTGAAATGCAAGTTCGTGGTGATGATGATGATCCAGTAATAATAATGATGATGACGATGATGATGATGTCGGGCTGTCTGTCTGTCTGTTAGCAAATGGGTTATCATAAAATTAATGGAATGGTACATAATAATTTAAGAAAGAGGTGATAAAAAATTGGGAGGAAAAAAGGACAAGGTCACAGATTTTTTTTTTTTTTTTTTCACTCTCTCATAGCATAACATAAATACACTGGCTAGGTATTCGGTATTCCGGGACAGAACGGAGGAATGCACTTCCATGTAGCCCCTCTTCTCTAGTTAGACTTGATAAATTCTGATTTTATATAATTATGAGTTCCGAAGAACGGTCACAAATTGCATCAAGCAACGATATTTCCACATCGCTTGTGCGGGGTATTGGGATAAGTTTTCAACTAGCAATAATCACGCCTCGGATAAACCTCATTGGCTATGATATCGCCTCTGCGCAAAGATAGATATATTTTAGCTACGTACGTACTTACACCATACAGATAACGAGCGAAGTATCGATGTTGTTTTATAACCTTTTTCTAAATTTAAGCAAAAATTGAAATAACAAATAGAAAACACGATATTCTACATTAATTTCACTTAATTCCTATCAATGATGTCTTTAGGCTTAATGAATAAAATTGCTTAACTCTTTCAATAGTTATTTATTACAATTTATGAATCTTATGAATATTCATTAGCTGTATACAAAAACGGTTTAAAGTCTATTATTACAATTGTTAACAATACTTTAGTAAAGATTTGTATCCATTTCGTTAATGCTTTGTTTTGGTTAATGGGTGTTTCAGTTCATTTGTATTTTTCAGTTAATGGCAATGTAGATAACAAAACACGCTCACCAATATTGTAATGATGACGTACTGGTAATCGTCCACTCCAAGAGAATATTTCAAGAACAAAGCAAGATTTCCTTGGATCGACTGCAAGGGGAAAATAGTATCAGTAATAATACTGCACATTTTAATTTTATATGTTATTCTGAAAAGTTACCTTAAGCATTTTCCTGGATTTAGTAATCTAAGCAATTGAAGATACCTACGAAGTTCCGTAATGGATTGAGCTTGCTGTTAACCCCAAGTACATATTGAATTGATATAGGCCTACTACTAAAATCTCGGTTAATGTATAACATAATTACAAAGTAATATCAATAATATTATATAACATGCAGTAATGTTTTTTTTTGTTAGTTTAATTTGGTTACCAGTATACACAATGAACTTATTATGTTCTCATCTTGAGTCGTTTCATCACGTCTCTTTTTGTCCCCGGGACCTTTTATCATTCAAAGACCACGACACTCGACACCTTTGAGCAATTAAAGATACCTACAATATCCCATATTGGATTTGGCCTAATATAAAATTTGGCCAAAATCTCTATTAATAAATTTAAATTACAATATAATTAACATCGATAATATTATACATGATTAATGTTATTTTGTTAGTTTAATTTTGTTACGGTACCGTACCTGTATACACAATGAAAAAAATAGGAAAGACATGGTAAGCTTAATGTACGGGCCGAAGGTCAAGACTTTCTTGACGGCTGTCGGAAGGGGTTCATTTCTTTGCGATATCCTTTGTTGAGCTGAAAAATAAGCAAAATCATATTAATTTCAATTTCTTTTTTTAATAAAGAACTAAAAAAAATGCAAATAAAACAAAAATGATATAAATTTTAAGGTTTGAGTTGTATTATATTTAGAACTATGTCATCGTTCGTTATGTTTCTAAACCGAAAAGCTGCTTAAAATAGGAAGAGGTTAATTAAATGAAAGATTAATTAATAACAATAGTCTCAGATGTTGTCAGTAGGGGCAAGGGAAAATTGAAACAATTATATTATCTACGAAATGTAATTATTTAATAAATTTGATTTATATAACCTTTTTTTATAATTTATACTGCAGTACTACGAATATTGACCGGCAATGGATTCCATTCACAACTGTCACTAAATGAACTAGAATAATAAACACTGCCTCTAAAACAAACTTGACATGTTTTAAGAATTACTTATTTTGTATATCTATTATTATTCAATTGAAGATTAAAACGAGAAAATAATGCTTTGTCAATCAACAGACGTTTGAAACCATTCCTATAGCATTTAAGATTCAGGTTTAGATTCAGATACTTTTATTCATATAATAATGAATAAATGAATTGAAATTGAAATTAAGATAACAAATATTGATAATAACAATTAGAAAAAAATATAACAAGTCATTATTACCCTTCTTGATCCTCCTAAAAGTGAAAAAATGTATTGAAGGGACCGAAAAAAAAATATATAAAAAAAATTTTAAAAAACCTAAATACAAACTTACATAATTAGAAAACAGAAAACGGAGGGGGAGGGGGTGGGGAGAGAAATACAGTACGTTAAAATAATGATAACAATAACTTACATTTCCTTTACCAGAACTAAAGCCTTAGTTAAGAAAGTATGATACATACTCCAAGTATTGAAATACACGCCATCGTGTTGGAATTCAATATTTCGACATTAATTATGTCATCATCAGGAAAACCTTAGTGATTCTATATTTAAAATACAGCAGAACCCGTTTTGGGACACCCTATTCAGATTACATCCCTATTAAGGGGACACTTTTCCGTGGAATATGTTAGCACGTACGGCCACCGCCATTACGAAAATAATGATATCATTATTATATGCGAGCCAAACTACCCCGTTAAAAGGACAGTTACGTTTCTGGTTGATGTCCTCTAAATAGGGGTATCCCTACTCAGAGATCTCTACACTGGCAGCAAATATTTTGACTTGTTTTAGGTCTGTAAATCATTGAAAATAATTTTCAACGCTTGGCTTACTAAAAGTTATTAAGAGCAACAAATATCAAAATATAAATTACGTTTTTTTTCTGTCGTTCCAGTAAGAACTATAACTGCACAAATCACAAAAAGGCCAGATATTATCCCGGCTCCGATCATATATCCTTTGGTCTGAGAAATAAAAATACCGAAAATCAATAAGGGCCTATACTTGATTATATATAATAATAATAATAATAATAATAATAATAATAATAATAATAATAATAATAATAATAATAATAATAATAATAATAATAATAATAATAATAATAATAATAATAATAATAATAATAATAATAATAACAATAGCCTTTCCAGAGTGTCGATCATAAGTATCTGACCAATCAGAACAGGGCCAGGAATACGCGCTTGTCCCATAAACCCACCCGTTGTCTTACATATATATGCATGTGATTAATTTTCATTTCATTCATTTTCTTCAACAAAACAAAAACTTATAGAAAGGAGAATATAGGCCTACATGATACGAATACATACAAATAAAGCGAAAGCAATTTATACCAACTTGACGGAATAATAAATAACGCGAAACAAATCACTGTCGATTAGTTATCGTGGGTAGTATAATACATACTCCAAGTATACGGTAATGAATGTCGAAATATTGAATCCCGACACGATGGCATGCATTTCGATACTTGGAGTATGTATTATACTATCTTATCTGAGATTAATCAGTGAACCTTTCGGTAGTTATCGTAGGTTTGAGAAATACAAGTAAACAATTAAGAATGTATTATATTTTTAGATAAATTAAAATTAAATAGTCTTTTTCGAAAATATGTATAATGAAAAATTAAAGAATAGTTTTTAAGAATAATTTATTCTGAAAATTATATACGCTGTCGTTTTGTGGGATCAATGGACATATATTATCGAAAAGTTCATTCAGAAAATGCAAAGTATTTGCATGAGCAGAAAATTGTATATAAAGTCATCACGTGATATGTCGTACCGTCCTATCAAATATAAAAACTCCCGTACTAATTTAAACATGGTTGAGGGTGGGGATCAACTTATCAACATCCAAAGAAAATATTTCAACGTACAGTACCGTACTTTTTTTAATTTTCCTTGATTTATAGACATTTTTCTAGTAAAAAATCGTCAAATAATTATCTGCCATGTAAAGGTTCAATGTTTACCATAGGCCATAAATGGTAATGTCGAAAAAAGTATTCGTATTTACAATCGGAAAATAGATTGAATACACAAATAAGCAATAATAGTGCAAGAGTGTGTTATATAATTACATATCCTATTTGGGAGCAGGCTATTTACCCCCGGACATTTTCCCTTAAACATCTGCCCTCTGTATTTCTCCCCAGAAATCCGCTCATAGTTATAGTAATAGTAATAATAGAAATATTATTAACAATTGTAATTATAATAATAATAATAATAATAATAATATAATTTGTATACTTGGATATGAGAACCATTGAATTAAATTACATTAGAAGCAGTGCGCACAATATTACTTGATGACTAATAACTTATTGGTATTTACAAAGGGAAGGAAATCTTGTTTCCAGTTGTGGATACGCGTTTTTAAATACCGTACAAGTTGAAATGGATGATTATTCATAAAAGTACTTATATATTGTTATCAATATAATTACCGTACATTTAATGTTACAAGCCATTGACTCAATCTGAAAAAGCTCATAAACTAAGTAACAGTTCCACCTTCATTTACATGGGAAACTATTTTAGTTAACCTTTTGGTAGCCTGTCCCAAATACAAATACTGATGCAGTATATAATTGAGATTACGTGATTCATAATTTTACGAGGCCAAATTAATCTTTTTATCATATTTAAAATTAAAATAGGCCTATCCCAGCTTTCAGTTGTGAGAAGGACAACCGCACCAATTATGCAATTATGTGGTTAGCCTATATTTCTCTGTATTATATTGAAATAATACAATCATTAATTGTTAAATAATTTGTTTATGATTAACGCCTTCAGAATTAAAAGCAAAAAACAAATTAAATGGGAGGTTCATTTTTTAAGACTTTATTCAATAAAAATTCCTCGGTGCTAAATTCAGAGTAGTGGGTAACAAATGAAGCTCTGGGTTTCAATGAGAAGTTTTACAGTCAATTTACAACAAATTCTAAATGTCAAATAGTTCTAAAATTTCTTCTTCTGTTAGTGTCTTTGTAAATAACTTTGCTTCATCCATCCATCCGTGAAAGCATGAATCGCTATTTCTTTCTATTTTACCAATCATTACAACAGTGTCAGTGCTGCCAATATTATCACAGCATTTTGCGACTTTAGTGAATTTCCCGTCTATATAGACAGCGACAGCGTTGCCACTGTATGTCATTACAAGGTGGTGCCACTCGCTCAAACTGAAGTTGATTCTTTCCAGCCCATAAGAGGCTCCTAAAACTGAAATCGTAAGTTCGGATTGTATTATTTGTATCTCCCAGGTACTAATGGTATGAATTTTGTTTCCAATGTTAATGATTCCCATTACTGAGCCCTCACTATCACAATTATCACATTTAAACCAAATACTGACGGAAAATTCAGACCCAATGCTGTACGTGGGAAATTCTGTAACCTCTACCCAAGAATCGCCACCAAAATACATTGCTTCACCACGTATCCCATCAGTGTAATATATTTGCGAACCATGAATAGTACCATGGTATGAATTCCCAGACTTATCGTCTGCTGTGTTTTCGAACGCGTAGTGTGCCAACAAGTGTCTGCTCGGAGCTTCTACCAAGGTAATTCAACAAAAGGACGCACATCTCGGGACATCAAAGGTTATAACAAAGAGTATAAATAGAACAAGAGAGCCAACAACGCTCATTGAGAGCGTAAAAAAACGATACGCTCTACGCAGCTAGTGTAGGACGCCAACTAACGCTTGTATGTGTTTTATTACCCAGTACAGTGCACCGCGCACTGTAGGTTTGTCTGTTTATCTGTTCTCCACAAGATACTGTACTTTTGTTTTCTGCTTACTGAGTTTATAGCGGGCGTACTTCTACCGCGCTGCGCAGCGCTGCACTGGGTAATAAAAAGAATATACAACCGTTAGTGGGCGTCCTACACAGGCATGACGTTTTTACGAACGGGACTTTGCTCTCTTGTTCTATTTATACTCTTTGGTTATAACTCTGGCATCGACATTCTAGGCGCACGTGCGTCCCTACACGCTGAACGTCACAAAAACCATAGCAACCAGACCATAAACCGTCAGCGTACGTGACGATTTACCCACGCGCGTGTTAGTNCTGTCTCTTATACACATCTAGATGTGTATAATGCACTAACATTAGACTGAAATATATTCTTCATTTCAACATTAATTTTACCAAAATTGTGGTGAATTGTCGTTCATGAGACTCACTTCGCAGAAAAAAATAATAAATGTTCCGTATATACTCAAATGCTCGTCCTCGGCACCTTATGCCAACATTGTCAAAATGACAGATTAATGTTACATAAGAACATGAAATTTTATAAAATTCGTAAATTTTGAATTGCTATAACTTTTCATTTTCCTGGTAAGTTTTCACAAATTAAATTGCAGTTTATAGAAGCATTTAACAAGCTCGCGGTAAAAAAA